TCCTGTCTTTGGACCGGTTGCAACCTCTGATTGTAGGGACGTAGAGAGCGTAGGGCAGCAGACTTCAGGATTATGGTTTAAGGCTTAGGGCTTTAGGGTTTTAGGGTTTAGGGTTTACGGTTTTAGGGTTTGGAGATGAGCGTTCTTTGCGGTTTTGGGGCTTTAGGGGTTTGGGGTTTAGGGGTTTAGGGTTTTAGTGTTTTAGGTTTTAGGGTTTGGGCCTGGGGGTTTAAGGGCTCTCTTGGGGTTAGGGCTTATCGGGGGCGCGAAGATGAACCTACTCGAGGCAAGCCCAAACGCCCTGAACCCCAAAACAGCCCTGAACCCAAAGATATCTACAGGGTTGAAGCTACCGTTTGCAAGCTTCGAAGTGGAGAAGATTGTACTTGCAGAGCCTCCCCTTGCTCGGCCTCAAGCTTCAAAACGACACAGCTGGAGCCTGTCATGGGGCGGTGTGGACGAACAGAGAGGCAGCTTCAGGCTTAGACCCCCTTCGCTTCTCAGCCCAGAGGTGCAGCAGACTAAAAGCGCCGCGGACGAAACCCGGCAGCGCCAGGATCTAAGGAGCGGAGGCAGAGGATAGTCGATGAAGGGTCGAAGTTTATGAGCTTTACGGCCTTTAACAAGGGATGCGGAGGTAGGGTGCCTTGCAAGCACGCAGACTCTCCCTGCGTCTTGTCATAATGGTGCGGATGACGCTGTTGATGGTCATGGCCGGGATGATAATGACCACAACGATGATCAAGACGATGTCAAAGAGGGGGTGTGCTGGTTACGGTGATATTCATGATGACGGTGTTGCTGCTGGTTGTGATGACACAGTGCTGGTTGTTACGAGATCCGCTGCTACGACCGCGGTTTGCTCATCAACGCAGTATGATTGCTGTCATTGCCGTTGTTCATCGCTTCGTACTGTAGTCATTTTCGCTGCCATGTCTGTTGGTGACACTACAGCCAGGGTCATGTCGATGGTTTGGGGGCAGCAGAATCTGGCATGGTTGCAGAAACAGTTGCTAGGTGCACGACAGCAGCAATGCCACGAGTGTACTGTTGCTAGTCTTTGTTGTCTTTTGATTCTGTGTTGTCACTCGCCAACATAACAGTTGGCTGCCCTGCAGCATAAGAGTACGACGGCTGCGCGCTGCTGGCCACGAGGCTACGCAAAGCTTGGTTGTATCTTTCTCTCCCCTCTGAGGTCTGGAGAAGATGTTGACGGAGCAGCGAGAGCACATGGAGGCTTTAGAGGTCTGGACTTGGAGCCTGAGGGGGGATGGGGGGGGGGGGGGGTNNGGGGGGGGGGGGGGGGGGGGGAGACCAACGCGCGAGTATCTAAGGCAGAGGCCAGCGAAGACGTCATGCTTCTGGTGAACATAGAGCTGCATCGTTGGTGTCAGTGGTCTTTTAAAGCTTTACTCTGCTTGCGGTCTGGGATTCTGTCAACACGAAGGAGCATCACCTTCCGACAGTTACGGCCTGTCGAACACAGAACATGCAAGCTAAGCGCTCTCGTGTGCACGGATTTGTAGGTCTCACAAACAGTTTCGCTTTCATGTGAGCTCACATAGCATTTGATTGCTCGAGTCTTAGATTTCATCTACAACAGAATCAAAGAGTAGCCAGTTCTCCATCCATGTCTTCGTCCCGCTTTTTTGTAGTTCATCGTCTCGATGGATCATCATTTCCCGATAACAAGATCATGGTTATGATCTCGACGATGGTGACGATGTTGGTGCGGCTAAATTTTGAGAGAGAACAAGATGATGGTAGTCATGATTGGTGTCAGTCTTGTGCAACGCTGTTCATGTAGAAGGTTGCCTCTAAAGGGCCCCAAGATCATCCTTTACGGTTCCATTCGAAGGAATCTGCCGGCTTGGCGGAGCGTGAGCTGCAGGCGGGGAGAGATGGCTGTTCGAGTAGCATTTTGGGGCCCATTGTACTATGAACCCCGAAATAGTATCGGTAATTATTTAGGCCCTTCAAATTCCGGGTTTCAGGATTTCGCATGTTGGGTTTAGGGAGGTTTAGGGGTTCACATAGATTCTCTGCATCTTTGCGTGGCACCGGGACCTGCCTGGGTCTGTCAAAGCATTGCAGGCTCGCAGCATGCAGTCCGCAGACATGGAGATTGCTCTCTTCTCGCGGACCCCGACTTGTTTAGACTGCTACAGGAGCTGATGATCTCCGCTGCCTGGTTCTCGAGTGCATTTGGTCAAGCGGACAAAGCCTCGAGGTAAGGCCCAAAGCCCTACAGCCCTGAACTGCAAGGAAGGAGGCTGTGCCAGGCGAGGAGATGCCGAGAGATGGGTTTTGCAAGCAGATCGCCTCGGTTCTGAGCAGCTCTGGATGACAGGTGCCTTCAGGAGAGGACATCCCTTCTCCAGTTCATGGTGGACCTGCTCTCTGCAGCACGCTTAGTAAATGCAACAAGAGCGCCTGCATAATGAGGCATAATGTACGTACCTCAATCCAGCAATCTTCTTGGAGCCCTTTAGAATGCTGTGCGGGTTCCAGGGAAAAAAAGCACCAGTCGGGCTGAGGCCTTGCAGACCCTCTTCTACGACCCCACGCCCTTCACGCGCCTGCGCTTGCGATCCGCATCCCCCCCACCAGGCCGTGGTGGTGGCATGGTGATCTCTTGCGGCTTGTTGCGAGACATGCCTTGGGTTGGGAGTTGGGGAATTGGCCTGCGTTGCCCTCTTCTGCTTTGGAACCGCGACCTGCCAGAGCTGCTGCAGTTGAAGCTTCAGGTGATGGTGATGCGAATGATGATACGCAGCACAATCACAAGGAAAGTTATCACAAGCTGAAACCCCACAAGCTTTGTGACCCTAAAACTTCAACTCTATACTAAGCCCACTAAGGCACTAGGCCATCCCAGTCCTAAATCCCAGCCAAAGACCCTGAAGCGGGACCCTAACTCTGAACCCAGCTGTGCAGCTGAAGCCTCGAACGAAGGTGCGGCAGGGCGCCGGCGGAGCACTTCGCGTGAGCCGACCCACAGGCGGGCATGGCTCGAAAAATTATCCCTTTGCTGATATTCTTGTGAGTGCTGAGACTAAACTACTTCGACATGGGAGGACATTTTTCATGAGAAGTGCAACAGTTACCAACCTTGACCATTAGTGTGACCGTATGGTGTTGTTCTCGGTTTTCTGGTGGCTATCTACGAGTATGGTGGAGCTTCATGTAGCCATTGTGTATGCTGGTGAAGGCCGTTGAAGACATTGTATTTAAGGTTGGTGCCTGGCATCTGGCAACCTCCAGCGCGACTCGTCGCGGAAAACAAGCTAGGTAAATATGAGTTAGTAGGCAGCAGCCATGGGTAGGCCGGGCTTGACAGTATGTGAGTTCTCAGTGCAGAATCAAGTCTTTGAGGCATCTGCACAGTGGCTGCTATGCTTGCGCTTCGCAGTGCGATCTTGCGTCTCTTGGACTGGCAATTTCTACAGTCGGCTTCACTCCGAGGCATTCTGGAAATTGGCACTTGGCTGGTTGGTTTCTCTGCCGAGCCCGGACATCCTTGGATATTGATGGTTCGACCATGCGCGAGTTGTGCTTCATTGCCTAATGTGGGACGAGCCTATGCAGAATGCGCAGCTACCAAGATCATGCCGTGCTGAGGCCTCTGCCGAGTGCTCAGGCAATGAAGGACATCGGCACAACCGCCGAAGCCTCAGCAAGTGTTGTGGAAAGAAGTGCCAGGCACTGTAGCGGCGGCGAGTTCGCCACAGGAAGCCCGCAGGGGCCTTCAAGCAGCCTTTGCGCTTGCTAAGATCTCCGGCGGCGACGACTTGCGCGAGCTGTGCACAGCCCTCGAAGCGGAGATTGCGCAGGTGGCCTGCGGGCGGTGTTGCTTGCATTCTATGGGGGGCCTTGTGTGACATCGGGCAAATCTGGGAAGGCATAGAGGTAAACAGCAGTTGGAGTAAAATCTGAGTAAAAGCTTCCCTCTTTGCTGGCGGCTGCTCTTGCCACGGAATCCTCTAAGCTTGGCCCCACTTCCGGCTCTACATGCACACTTTTCAGACACTGAAGCTCGAATGACCAGCCATCCCATCGCGTGCAAGACAGTGCAACCTACTTTCTTCATCGAGTCTAATGCCCGCGAAAATGTAGGCCTCCGGACATTTTCGAAGACATGACAAGCTTTCGGCAGTGAGAGGCCTCGCAAGCGTTCTCTGCTCAGGCTGGGCTTCGTTTGAGGAAGGGCATGGTCTTTGTGGGATCCAGCCATGAATAGATGTCCTATGTGTACATCTATACATATTATACATCGCAGGAAGAGAAAGACGGAGAGACAAGGGCAACCTTTGGGAAGGGGTTTTTGCTCGGGGGTGAAATTCCTAAGTGCAGGATTTGCAGACATACCGTTAGGCCAGAACTGCTACAAAGGACCTGTCAGCCTGCATATGTTTGGTGTTCTTCCTGCTTCACGTGACAGTCACGTAGTCAGACGACAGTCCACTCCATATCTTCCATTTCAAGCCCGGCAGGTTCAGCGCGTCTTAGCCGAGGCTGAGCAGGCGCTCCCAGAAGTACGTACGCAGGTTTAAAGTGCATGTGCGCAATGATGGGCTGGCCAGCAATGAGCCGTGCATCTTCGCTTGAGAGTGCAGGCCGCTTCTAACTACCCCTCAGCTGTATACGGCAGTTTGACATGCGCGTCCTACTCGTTCCCGTGATCCCTCCCTCAATCCTTCGACGTCCTCCCCTGTCGCAGAGCGCCCGTGCGATTGGCTCGGCAGCCCCGGGGCAGTCACTGCGGGCTTGCGGCCTTTGGGTGGAGCAGGAGCGGCTTCACCCTAAGCCCCAATTGCTGCGCAGTTTTGAAACGCGGTGCTGCATCTTGGTTTTCATTCGCCATACTTTTGAGGGCTTAAATAAGCTGTGACATTCGGGCCGAAGCAGTCGTGCGAGCCGAGCGAACTTGTGTGATGGCGGTCAGGGGGTGTGTTGTTCATGAGATCCTTGGTAAGCCCATCGCCATAACCAAACGTGCGCCCAACGTGACTGCAGCTCACGCCCAGGAGAAGCGGCGGAAGGAGAAACAAGGTGGGCTGATGTACCCGAACCAAAGCTTTCGGGCGATGAAGCGAAATAAATCATATTAATGTATCACAGTATGTGTATATATATATATACACATTCATTTATTTATATTATTTTAGATTTATATTCATATTTACATATGTGTGCAGACAAAAGATACAGCCAGGTCTACCATCAGACCGTGCGGTGCCTTCCGTGGATTGGGCCGAGGCTCCTGGCACAGTCTTAGGATGAAGGCGACCATCATGATGGTTCAGGGTGTGGGGTTCGTTCAGGGTTTCGGGAATTGATGCAGGGTTGAGGGTTTGTTTAGAGTTTGGAAAAGTATACTATGCTTTTCTCCGCATAGGCATAGTACCAACTATAATTTTTAATCTTGCTACTGTATGATACTTTGATGACTATGGTGATGGTTCTGAAGCCAAACATTCGGGAAGCTAGCAGCTGTGCGGATGCGGGGTTGGACAGGAGCAGGTTCCAGCAAATGTGCGTGTGAATCCAGGACGTCGAATTTATTCTACAGGGGTTTAGGGTCTCGGATGCATGTCACTTGCTCGAAGTTGTGAGGACCGTAACATAAGGAGTTGTTTGGACCCAGGATGTAGAATTTTCCACAGGAGTGTAGGGTCTAGGATGCATGTTTACTTACACTCGAAGTTCTGAGGACAGTGACAAGGATTTGTTTGGGTGAGTCATGTTGCTGTAACGTTGTACCCATCCAGATCTCGTGTGAAACGGCTTGCCTGCACGAGCTGGAGTGCACTGCAAACGCCTCCCATATGTTCATGATTTTCCCTTCGCTTCTGCAACAAGAGGAGGGTGGAAGATGCCACACTTGCCTTCGGCACTCTCCGATTTTCCGACGAGCTTGGAAGCAATAGGCACTTCACAAAAGACCTTGAAGCTGCCTCCTTGGGGGCCAGGAGCGCGCTCAGTACCTGGCCACGACTCGCGCCATGGAGGCCAAGTTTGCGCAGCTGACAAAGCTGAGAAGGCTGCTGCAGGCCGGGGATGCAAAGAAGTTCCCCACCTTAAGCTTTGTGTCAAATGGCGTCGACCAACACCAAACCTACGCTTCGGCAGACCCGAAGTTCACCAAACCTCTTGATGTTGCATTTAACAGCACACGTTCCTCCACCCGTCCGGGATGTCATGCCTGCACAGCTTCCCTGCAATAAGAGCAAACAGAGTTCACCAGTCCAAACCCTAGGTCCATTCCTAGCATTCTCGGGCGAGAATTCGTGTTCCTTGCTTTCGGACCATCCGTTCCCGAGGCCAAGTACACTGCTGCCCGACGAAAGATCCACGCTGGGCGTTACTGAGAGGGCGGCACCCTCACTCAAAGACCTTGCTTCCGTTGCCAAGGAGTAGTGCTGACTGGATTGGGTTCCGATAAGGGTCCACAACCCCGAGCTGGCAATCGATGCAGCTCTTTTATGTAAAGGTCAATGCAGTTCAGGGGGTATTGCTGGCTCTGCGGGTGGTCAACCAGCTCATGGATACTTGTTGCCATTGCTTGCATGCTTCCATGCAAGGCGGCTAGACATTAACTCGCCCGCTGGAACAAAGGCGGCAAAGTCGAGAGGCTGCGCCCGGTTGAGCAAACGTATCCGACGATGTGGGCTTCGCTCAAGCAGGGGTGGCATCGTACAATTCCTAAGTGTGGAGAGGTCCCATCGATCCCTCCTGTTTTCTCTCCTCGCAAACCTACACCGCTTGAGCGAAGCCTTCACATTCCACTGAAAAAAACTGACGAGGGCATGTCTCAGCGCAAGAGTTGGAGCCTTGGAAGTAAGACTGGACAGCACAGATATTCCTTTTCTCAGGATTGGAACATGCCTTCGTGGCCAAGACGGTCACCCATACTGCGCCTGTCCATGCCGTCGCATCTGGGACAGTATGAATCGACCCCTGCAGGGTGTAGCGCGAAACCCGGCAGAGCCCGTGCAACTCACCTTCGAGTCCCGACAGCAAGCTTGCCAGCCACAGGGCATGGTTGACTCCCAGTGCGGCTTTAATTCAAGGTCATGGGGAGTGAAGGGAGGAAGACGCCTTTGTTGACAGGAAAAGTTGTGGCATCCTGCCGGCTGTGAGCTCTGTTGCTGCACGTTTCAGGCATCATCCCCTGTCCTCCTCATGAATTCAATGCGTCTCAGAGGCAGGCTCTACAGATAGCGTGCACTGGGCTGGTTGTGATGTCGGGTTGTGTTGTTGTTTCTGCGCTCTACGCTTGCAGCCAGAGCCGCCCTGTATGGCCTGCAGATGCCATGTATCACTAGCACCGCACACGCGGAAAAGGCCAAAGGCCACGTTGAGCGCATAGCCTTCTGGAGTTTGACTGTGCATGCATGCTTCTCTTGTGAGAATGGCTCGATATATGATTGGCAAGTATCGTGAGACAAACTCAGCTTTCTTTCAATTGCCCGGCCACGCAAGCCTGGGCCTAGCAATATCCTGAACGAAATGGCGGCTGTCTCAAATTAGCTTAGGAACTAAAATTACCGTAGTGCCGCAGCCGACAATCTTGCATCTTTCGCTCATGATGACTTCAGAAGGCACGAGAAGGGAGCGATCGGTCTTTTTATTGAGAGACTTAATTACAAATGATCAAATGTTTGTCTTCGGATGCACTAACTACAATCTTCCGCCTTATGGGCTTTTGTCGTATGATCCCTTCAAGCAGGTGATGGAGTTGCGGAAGGCCCACGTTGGAGTTGCGAAGCCACATGATAATGGTGCCTAGAGGAGGGAGCCTCTGCCAGCATTGGACTTACACGTTGTCTTTCTCGCAGCGCTCACAAGCTCCGCCAATAAGCACTCGACGTATCTTCTCATCACTTGATAGCTTCTTCTCTTTCTGGCCTCGTGATACAAAGTGCAGGGAATGTCTGGGACTTGAGGCTCCTACCTTCTTTTGGTAAGATGCGGGAAGCGACACCCATGCCAAGAAGTAGCAGCTTGCAAACTCTGTTGCCGGGCAATTGTGCTTTGGACTTCAGATGGCTTCAGTGCTCAATGCAGGAGCAGCAATCAAAGTCTCTTGCTGCCCGGTGCCACTCAGAGCGCAGTGATCTCTCTAATCCGTATCGGCACTCGTGACGCCCCATTCATCACAACCAGAGCAATACTATGCTCCGAAGGGTCCATTTCCTACACAGATCTGATGGTGCTTCCAAAAGATGACTCTCCCACAGAAAGCCCAAGATAAAAATCACCTCCTCTTCGATCAAGAAGTGCACTGCTACCCCAGCGCAGTGAGCCTTCCAATTCAAACCCCGGCACCCTCCTAGCTTTGGATGCCCAAAGGCCTGAAATCTAGTATAGGGAAGGCCCCGAGGCTGGCGCTGGATCTTGCCCTCAATCGTACCAATGCACTGTAGTATTCTTATAGTACTACCGTAGTATCATCGTAGTGTTACAGTACTTTCATAGTAGCACTATAGTACCCTCACATAGTACTATAATAGTAAAAGGTGTGGGGCCCCACTGCGCCCTTGAAGACCTTCGACACTGCGACTCATGGTAGCTCAGCCGGCTGTTGCTATTTTCGAGAGAAGTGACAAAGAAAAAAGATAGGTAAGTTTCATGGGTTCCTACTATAATAGTACTTTACTGACACTATAGTATAATATACGTAAGATTACTACAGTAGTATTATACTTATAATAGTATTATGTAGGAATACTACAAGAATACGATATCATAGTATTGCAATAGTACTATAGTATTACCATAATAATGCTGTAATAGTACTATAACAATACATGGTACCGTGTGCCATTTGCGAGGCAGGGTGAGTGCGAGCATGGCCCGGCGACGGGCTCAGACCCCTTTGCATAAGGTCTTGTGTTCGGCTCGGGCTACTCTTCTGCTGGACTCAAGAAGAGTCACAGAATTGATTTCTGACCTGCGGATGGCATCAGAATGGTACATCGGGCTGGACGTAACTAGAGTGGACACTGGAGGAAGGTGGCCGGGAGCTGGAATTGACTTCCTGACTAACCTCGTCGGAATGGTACAACCCACTGCCACCGTGATAATCACAAATGTGAGATATTTGTCAGTCCCAGTGCGTTTGTTCTATGATTTGGGGCCGGCAGGTAGACCAAATATTCCCTAAACTCGCAATCCCAGCATGCATACTACATGTACAAGTACATACACACTACTCATACAAATATACTCATTATAATGTCAATTTGGGAATTGTACGGAGATGCATTCGAACGAGCGCATTGAAATATGCCATAGCCACGGTGGCTCAGTGAGCTGCTTGTGCCAGCTTGGCATTGGCTTGCAAACAGGGAAACACCACCTGCCTTTGACATGCCAGCGTCACCTGAGCACGTGGATACTAGCGAGGATGCCGCTGTGCCTGCCCCGTTTGCCGATTTGGCCACTGGTGCTGAAGAAGGTGAAGGTAGCGAGGATGAGGGGAATCATGAGGATGAAGCCGTCCCACATATGCTCTATGATCTCACGGAGGAGCAGCCGAATAGCGTCGCCACCGCTGCTGCCGAAGGTCGTCGCCGGTGGCCAGCCTTCGCAGCCTATTATGAAGAGCAGGGGATAGCCAGCCCAGCTGCGTTGGAGGCCGCACTCGCTGCAATGGCACGTCCAGGAGCGCCTTTTCAATGCAGATTTCCAGAGTCACCGACAGCAGCAGCCTCTCTGGCGCGGCTGCGCGCTGTCCTACCGAATTTGGCACCCGTGCCCTGGGCACCGAAGGCTTTCCGGGTGGTGCCTGGCCAGCCGGGGAAGGCCTCGGACCCTAAAAAAATCGGCCTTGAAGTTTTGAGGCTGATGAAAGAGGGCGACCTTTGCCTTCAGGATGTCAGTAGTATGTTGCCAGTCCTCGCGATGAAGCCTCTAGCACCAGATATGGCCTGCTTGGATATGTGTGCTGCTCCTGGCTCAAAGGCCATGCAGTTGCTCGATGCCCTTACGTCAGCTCCGTCAGCTCCGGGGAGAAACCGAGGTGGATTTCTAGTCGCAAACGAGCGAAGCGAGAAGCGTGCACGGAGATTGCTGTCGCGAGCGCGCTGGTCCCCTGCATTGGCGCGTGCCATCCTCGTCTGTTGCACAGATGCTTCGATCTTCCCTGCCTTGCGCATTGCAGGACCGCGGGGTGCATTCCCCAAGCTGCGGTATGACCGTGTGATCTGCGATGTGCCTTGCTCCGGCGATGGCCAGCTGCGCAAGACACAGGATAAATTCGAAGTGGGTCGGGGCTTGGCTCTACACCCACTGCAGCTCAGGATCCTCCGCCGTGGCTTACAGCTCCTGGCGCCAGGCGGTCAACTTGTTTACAGCACATGCTCTCTAAATCCTATCGAAGACGAAGCTGTTGTTGCCGCAGCCTTGGTCGAAGCCGCAGACTGCGAGATTGTGCCGTTACCAGCGCGACTCCTCGAGGAGGACGTTGGATTGCACCCTGGCATTTCATTTTGGGTGGTACCTGGATCGGGCCAAGCAGAAGGGTATGCAGGGCAGGCCAGCTCAACCGCATTCTGGCCTGGAGTTGACTTGCCTACCATGCGGCCGCCACCTGCTAGCTCGTCTACATCCCTGCAGCTGAAGCACTGCCGCCGTGCTTTGCCAACATACGCAGGTGGATCTGGCTTCTTTCTTTGTGTCATCGAGCGCAGACAGAAACCCATGCGGCCCATGGTGGGAGTGGGCGGAGTGGGAGAGGAGGACAGTGCCGACGAGGAGAAAGAGGATGCAGCTCGGTTGGCATGGTTCGGCGATAAAAAGCCTCGGAAAGTCTTTAAACCCATGTTTCCGGTAGCTCCCTCCGACATGACAGAGGGTGTGTGCAAGTTGTTCGGCATCTCAGCCACAGCTCTGTTGCAGCATGGCCTTGCTGACCAGCTCTGCATTCCGGGTTTCAAAAGGGATCGCAGGATGCTTCTTTCTGTAGCAAAGCGCCTCGGAGACATTCAACGACATAGGCAGGCGAATGTCTTGGATGGCGGCTCGCCAGTGGCGACTTTGATGCCCAAGGAGTCTTGGTGGCCACGGAGGCTCTCAGCTTGGCGACCCTGCCATGAGGAGGCCCAGCTCCTCGCGCGACTGGCCACTCGACGTGTCTTCCCCTGCACTTCCGCGTTACTGAAGGCACGGACTGCGCCCAGCAATGAGGAGGAGGGTGGTGCCATCGTCGCATCCGGAGAAGTCGCTCTTGCTGCAGTCGTGGAGGGCGGGCTGCTCAAGCTGTTGGCAACCGGGGACATGCTGCACAATTGCATTGCGAGACTCGAGGATGCAACAGCTGCACCAGCTGGGCACGCAGCAACCTTACATTAATGTCGGGACTGCGTCCTCGGAGCGCGGCAAGGAGCACTCGTTTTGCGGAGATTTGGCTTTGAATGGTTCAATGGGTGCTTCCATTTAAGTGATATCGCTGGGTCTCGGAGAAGATTTGGATGTACAACAAGGTGCCTCCGAGGAGGGCTACGCCACCCAGAGAACGACATTCCTCACACCCTTGCCGTGTGAGGGTTCAAGCTACGCGGCCAAAGCCCTAGCTGCAAGATCTTCGATTCCAAAACGCTCACCCCCGACTTAGTCAAGAAGCAGCCGAGCTCCTGCATTTTGCAGCTCTCACGGTGGCACTGGAACTTCCGATTCCGTCGACGCAACTTTGGACCCTCTGGGGCTGAAGTGACTCATCCTGGAGAGCTCTTGTAGGTAAAGCCGTCTCGAACGTCGGGTCCGGGATTTGGGCTTGAAGAGAAAGACGCCGAACGCACACCATCAGAAACTTGGGACACTGCTGCTGCTACTACTACCATAATACCCCTATAGCATACTGCAACTGGCATGGAGCTCTCTGTGAAGTTGCGATCATCCCTTGTTCTCAATCATGCTACAACCCATGGTCTCTGCTGCCGGCTTCACAGGCTGCCTCTGAAAAGCTTGAGCCCCGAAGTCCTCAGCCCACGAACTCCGCTCGAGGCCGCTGCAACGGAGACACCATGGTTCAGCCTGCAACCGAAAGACATAGCATCCGACTGGTTCGTCACATTGTGATTTCCTCTGTGTTTCCCGGAAGCCTCTCGCTGGCGCTGAGGTTGGCAGGGCGGGCCCCGTGTGAGGGCTGAGGGAGACCGAACAATTGCGAGCGAGGAGCCAAGATGCCGATGGGAGGGAATCTAAGTCGTCGGTTACGCCTGAGCCGTTGAATACAAGCACCTCACAGTCCTCGGTGCTCAGGTGCTCGATGCGGGAGGCACACAGACCAACAAGGCCCGGACGCCATGCTACGCGGAGCATGCTTGGAGCCGCAAGTGATGTCCTAGCCCATCATCTCCTGCTGTGCGATAGTGACGGGTTATCCATCAAGTCCACGTGCTGGTCGTCTTCTCTTTCATGCTCAACTTAAGCTGTACCTGGGTTTTGTGATGTTTTGTGGCAGTCGCAGAACTTGTTTCCTGGTTAATGAAGTAGATGTGCCCATGCCGCCCTGCCTCTCCCGCTGAGACATTAGGATCTAAGCAAGGCTAGGCATGCAACGATGAAGGAGCTTGATCTCTCATGTGCAGCGATGTTGGTCGGTGCCGACAGTGTTGTCGTTGTCGTCGTCGCTGTCGCTTGATGCGAATGATGATCGTGATGATGATGAGGTTGATGTTAACGAACAAGAGACGTGATGAATAATGTGGCGATGAACATGGATGACAGTGGTGATCATCGATCATGACAGTGATGGGGCTGGTGACAGAACGCATCCTTGAAATCATTCATGATTGCTGTCTTAGGTCCGGGACCTTCAGCAATCCGAAAGAGCCCAGCTGCGATGCCGAAGCTTTTCGGAAGGCTCTCCCGTGGGGCCGTTGTAAATTAGGGAGAGGCGGGGCCAGCCAACAGAGCTTCGAGCGTATTGGGATGACTCGAGTCCTCAGAAGGTCTGCAGGCGCTGCTTCAGCCATTCGGGCGATGGCTGGCGCAGTTGCCTTGCAAACCGTATTCGGCAGGTAACCCCCCCCCCCCCCATTTCTGAGCCCTTCTCAGTCAACTTGTCGTCAGGAAGCCAAAGTGCACCTGATGCTTGGCCCGCAGCTTTTGATGCCATTGGAACGGCTCCTGCCCAGGCCTCACTCGTCACAGAGAGTGCAGAGATGGTGAAGGGAGTAGAGTTAGGGAGTTGCTGTGGCCTTGCATTCGCCATGGCACATCGCATCAAGTGGGATATTATTCGCTGTTGCAGGAGGGACGAGACTGGTTGATTTGGCAGCTGGATTCGACACAGCAGGTCTGGAGCCCGGGTTCGGCCGGTGGGTCTTCGGACAGGAAGAGGTGTGAGTTTAGGAGCACATTGCCAGCCGATTGCCGAACAAAGCATGAACAATGCCTGCAGGTGCAACGTAAAGTCCCAAACCCTCTCACAACAGTTGCCACGGTCCTTGTGAGCCTTCGTTGGCTCGCGCAGGTGATCCTCTTCCCCCCTGACTGCGAGAAAGCGAGGATGAGAGGAGGCGGGCCAAGTCACAATCTTGACGGACAGGTTGGTCTGTTGTTGACACGTTGCAAGATTGGGAGATCACTCTGTTACGGAAGGCACAGGACCAGAAAAGCACAATCTGTACACCATACGGATTTGTCTTGTTGTTCGGGTCAAAAGCCTGCTGCTCCACGATTTCCTTTGGAACCAAGCAGGAATGTCCAAACGACATGCTTGCTAACCATGGGATGAAGAGGATCGGCGCTAGCTGAGCACCCGGGAGGCATAGTGAAGAAGTGTATACATAGGCCCAGCAGCATCGTCAGCATCACCTGCCGCATTCCCGTGAAGGACCACTGCCAAAGCCTCATGCCTCGATTCCAAGAGACCCCTCTTGCCCCTACAACGCAAGGCAAGCTCTTCGAGCCCGCGCAAAGCGCAGCGGGCCTCAGATGTCTAGGACACGGGGAGTCCTCGATCCACGGCTGCTTGCACCTGCACCAAGAAGATAGGTCGTTAAGAACGCCATGATCGTGACAAATGGATGCTTCTAAACATTGACCCGGCAGCAACGAAGATGCTGAACAGCGCATTGCCGACGACGAACATCACAACAATGCCACCACTACCACCGCTGCGATCACTGCTTGTCACTGGTTTGTGATCGGGGCTGTCAGGCACATGTGCCTTGGGCCGATGACGACGCGGAGCCATGCTCCGTGGTCCTGCTGAAGAGCGAGGTGCCCGTTACATGGATTTGACAGCAGAGTGTGGCACGCTTAGAGCTTCGGAAGCTCGGGAACCGGGAGGCGGTGCAAGTTCCGGGTGGCTGGTATCTCGCCCAGCGCTCCTTGGCGGCCTGCGTGGGACTTCTTTGCCCGTGCGGGCCCCACTACGGCGAAGACAAGTAGAGAGTTGTCGCCTGCGAAGTAAAATGCTTGGTGCTGATGAACATTCGAGTGTCGGCCCAGGTCGAACCTTCGACGCTGCGGATGATCGAGCTCGAGACATGCGAGTATGAGTAAACTGTGTGAGTGGATGCGAGATTGTGCTGGCAGTATGGTTTAAACAGAAAACACATGCTGAACACAACAGCATTTCATTCTTAGCAGCAAGTCTTAGCAGCTTAGCAGTGATGCATGATGTGACGCAACGAAGAAAGGTTTGGACCCCGATGCGGATGTCGTGATGTTGTGCAGGTGCCACTGTCAAGAACAAGGTTCAGGTTTACGTTCCGCAGCGGAATCAATTTCTGCCGATGTCAACTTCCAGGTTGAAGCGAAAAGGCATGCTAGGAAGCATGCGCAGTGGCGGAAATTCAGATTTGGAGGTGTGCGGAAACTCCCAGAGCGACAGCGCTGCTTTATCCGATGAAGGCTGCCTCCCACAATCCGTCAACATTGCTGGCGACTGAATCTGTCGCTTTCCTGTCAACAAACCTTGGCCGGGTCGCCGTTGCTACGCAAGACTTGATGTCAAATATTTTAAAATACGAAGCACCTATCTTGAAAAGCACCTGCCCTTTGACGTGGGTGGGTCTTGCAATGGGATCAAAAAACAAGACTTCTTCGCGACAAAGATAGAAGCGATGACCTAGATGATGCTCGTGGTGACTACTTCGATGCTCATACACCGCTGCTCCCAAAGTCTTGCTTCTCAAGTGAATCAAGTGCCTTTTTGGCAGCTTGGCACCCTTTTACTGCTGGCTTGGAAGTGCGTTTGATTCAAGAGCAGATTTATCTCGGGACCCCTCCACCGGCAGAGCAGAAGCATGGCGCGCCACTGAGACTTCCCTTCAAGCCTGAGCCCTATTAGCTCCAGTGGCGCTTCTTCCAAGGTCCATGTCCCGGCGTTGGTCCTCCCACAGCGCGGTGCCTCTGCCACGGCCGTGGACTTCGTTCACGTCGCCCGCGGATGCGGCCCCCCTCAGGATCGTTGACCCCCGACTCGCTGTGCCCCCACTCCTCCAATGTGTCTGAAATCGGGAGGATCTGGCCGACTTCCGCCAGTTCCTCCTCTCGCGCTGCGAGAGGGGGCTGGTGGACTTCGACTCCTGGGTCGCGGAGCGCCGCAGGGTGGAGTCCTCCCAGCACGTGGACGCCGGGCTGGGCCAGCTGCACGGCCAGCTTTTGCTCGGGCTCCTGCAAGGCCATGGTTATTATAGGCTTATACGGGCTGCGTGATCTGGGTGTGCAGAGGTAAGCTCAGAGTGCGCTTTGTGAGCGTGCTCAGAGTCCTAGAAGGATTTGAAGGTGCTATGGACGTGTTGGTAGCTGTTTTTGTCAGTTGAAGGGCATGTAATGCTGCAGTTTGCACTTCTGGCAGAACGGTTTTTTTGGCATGTCCTATATCTAGCGTCTCAGAGCACGCCCTCGGACGAGCTCAGAGTTCTAAACGTATAGGTTCTGGATCTGGCTTCTCAGAGCGCGCCGCTGCGCGTGCTCCGAGTGGCTTGGAGCCCCGCCTTTCTGCAGGTCCGACCCCGGCTCGCCCGGCGCGTCTCATCCGCCGCGGGTTGCACCAAAGGTCTGAAGACATCGAGGTTGAGGTTAGCACGAAAAGCCGAAAAAAACCTTCAGGCACACGATGGCCGCGAAAATGCGGAGGAAGGCTGTGGTGCCAGTCCTGGGCTTAGAGAGCACGGTTGTCATGACATGTGGATGCGGGAGTTCCGAGGCTCGGCCGCCCTGGCGATAAAACGAGCCAAATCAGGGGCTCCGCGCAGGCAGCACAGGGAGACAGACCCAAAGACCCAAGCTGATACTCACTACGTCACGTCCGGGTGTATGCTTCGGAGGATTCCGAGCCCGAGGCCGTTCAAGAAGCTCCGTGTGGACCCCTTGAAAAACCCCTCTTATACATATGCCTGGCTTTGCAACAATGAAACCTTCAGA